TCATGTTTCTTATCCTGAAGAGAAATGAGAAAGGTAAGTATTTATATAACCAGTCCTCTCGTGACCTGACAGTCCAATTTACCTTCCCCTCTCATACACTCGCGAGCCTGACCTAATCTGACCCAGCCTTCCGGCAAGCCACTCTGTTTTTGCTGCTTGTCCCTTTCCGGGTTATATAAATGGCTGCTTCTCCTCTCTCTCTTCTGCCTCGAAATGGGAACCAATGAAGGGGATTTCATGCTAACAAATGTTTGCAAATGTGATTTTGGTTGTGTGCGTTTGTGTATATGTATTCGTGTGTTTGTCTACGTGTGTGAGTATGTGTACACTACACAGACACGATATATATATATATATATATATATATATATATATATATATATATATATATATATTATACACACACACACACACACACACACACACACACACACACATATATATATATATATATATATATATATATATATATATATATATATATATATTCATATATATGTGTGTATACATGTACACAACATACAATTATGTCCACACACACAAACATATTTATTTCTAAGGGTTACCCAAAACCCATTAAGCCGAGCGTACCTCCGCGCCTATCATCTGTTTCCGGGATCCTGCGTGGCCGGTCCTTGCGTCCTGGTGTCCAAGCTCCTCCCCTGATTACCTTTACCGTTCTTAGGATTTTTTGTTCCGTGTCCGTGATGCCTTTTCGACGTACATGATGACCTTGGACGTTGACTCCTGCTCATCCACTTCCCTCTGCCCACCGACATCTTCCTCCAGCTGATTCGTCTGTACATGGAATTTCATTCCTTTTACTTTGAGGGTCACTTCAAACCTATTCATGGAAAACTTCTAGTCAGCTTCTCCCTTCCATCTTTCATCCTTCGATATCTTTGTTTTCTGGCCTCGTGACCTTATCCTGTTCTCAGATTTTCCAACAGAGATGATTTTTTAAAATCTCTTCATTTGTTTCAAGGTGGAATGGAAGGCTGACAGCAAGCCCCCTTTCTCGGACATACTAGTTCATCACTTTGCTGACTACTTTTCCTTCTCTGAACATAGTGGAATATAAAAACTTGTTGCCTCCTTGCTGTTCCTCTGCACGCTCCGCATCTGCGATCCCAAGCCCCTGGATGGAGAGTTCGACTACCTCCGTCGTTCCTATTATAAACTGGGCTAACCTTACTATCTCTACATTCAGCTCCTTGTTCATATTTCGCCAAGTTAACATTATTCGCCGCAACCTGGTCCACACTTCTTCCTCTACCTCAAAGGAGGACACCTATGCTGCTCCTTGAGCCTCTTGTGACAATAAGTACTTGTGTGAGACAGGCACCAGTCTCTCTGTGTCTGTCTCAAGACTACTGCGCTGTATCCAGGGGACACGGGTCAGCTGCGTAAATTTTCTTCCGGTGATGTCCACGCCCAGGAAATACTGGAATCATTAATTAAGTAGCTGCCTAACTTCAGCTTGAAGAGTGCTTTTTCTCTTGCCGACAGTCTTCTCACTTCCCGCCGTCTTCTCCCTTATGCCGGCAACCCTTCGCACAGACCGCCTTATTCTTCGACCTAACCTGACATCCCTTTCCCTTCTCTACCTGCCCTGTACTTACCGCGTTGCTTCTCCTCTCTCACGTATACTCCTTCCTCTCCCCTTTCTCTTCAGAACTAAAAATGAAATCTCGAAGGATTTCGAGACTATTGTCTCATTTATGCGTTGTGTCTTTCCTACCATTATATCAAAACGCCAGTGTTTTCCCATTTACACACATATATGTATGTGTTTGCATACATATTTATATATGTATGTATACATATGTGCTTGTGTGTGTGTGTGTGTATGTGTGTATGTATGTGTGTGTGTGTGTGTGTGTGTGTGTGTGTGTGTGTGTGTGTGTGTGTGTGTGTGTGTGTGTGTGTGTGTGTGTGTATGTAGTGTAGTATAGTGTAGTGTTTTACTACACACCTGTGTGCAAAAATCTCGGAGACACTTACCCAGCCATAAGCTACCTTCAGACATTTGCTGGTAGAGAGATCGTCCATTTGCTGATGCTGTAAGTAGGAATAGCACCATTGTCAAGTTAAATGCACACATAGCGTAGGGAAAAAAACCAGGATATTGCCGTAAATTCAATTCATAGAACTTTGTGATGTTGCTGTTATCATTAACATAATTGTCATTTTTTTATATGGACTTTTTCTTATAGATACATGAACTACACACAAAGAAATGTAGTACAGTCATGGACTAGAGGCAACATTTAACGGTCTCCTCCCTCACCCCACATTTCGAATTCAATCTGCACTCCTCCCACTCTAATGTAATGTGATCGAATCTCCACCACGACCGGGATCCCACCCACTCCATGCATGCTGTTACCACAGCATACCCTGCCGCCAGTGGCATTCCCTGTACTCTCGTCGCACCAATTCTGCCACTTTTCACTTCAGCAGATAGCTTAAACGATGCTTAGTTTATCCATGGCTTTCATAAAATTATCTTAACTTTTTGGAATTATTTTCTTACATTTCACATTTTGAGTTAACACATTATATATCTGTACACGTATGTGAATTCCAGTGTTCAGGATAATATAACTATAAAAACCTTTAATGTTTTCAATATCATATATAGTTTATATACCAATACACCATCTTACGGTACATATATTTATTTCTGTAGTATCAGCATTTACATTATCAAAAGTAATTATATTCATCAAGAAAAACAAGAGTTGATAATACTTTCTAATATTTTCTTTTTCAGTTTCTGGTTTCAAAACCAGCCCATGGGCGCGCGCGCACACACACACACACACGCACGCACGCACACACACACACACACCACACACACACACACACACACACACACACACACACACACACACACACACACACACACACACACACACACACACACACACACACATTTTCTGGCAGTCACTATGGAGCGGGCAGCACACACTCATTCCCCTCCAGCTACGCATCCGGCAGGAGCAACTGCCTTGACCTCACATTTCCAGTGTCGGGGCGCTCTCCATGAAGGGCGACCCGAGGACGGCAGAAAGATGGGCATGGCCTTCGCGCCGCGCGGAACTCCCGACACCTCCCGTAGCCAAGCTGACCTCGACACGGTATAAAGCCCAGCTACCAAGATGCGTTACCAGCTCTACGTGTTTGACTTCGTTCAATAAAGCAGCTAGTTATTTAATCATTAATAATTATAATAAACATGAAGAAAACTCCATAATGTACAGAGCAGAATTTCATCATCACAGTTGCCTAGACTGTCGCAATTAATTTATACTTTTAAAACCGGCATGCAAGTTTTTTATTTATTTATTTATTTATTTATTTATTATTATTATTTTTTTTTTTTTTATTATTTTTTTTTTTTTTTGCTCACCGCAATATGTGGAAACGGTTAAAAATGGCAATATTACAATCGAAAACAAAGTGACTCGAATTTTGTTTTTGAAGATATTTCTGCAACTATTAATTAATTTTGCATACAAAAACATTTTTAAGTGTGAAGTGCATAGCAGGCCTATACCATAACTCTTTGGAAGTTAACAACGTGGTAATCATTTATCTTTTGGTGTATTGACAACGCTAGCACTTATGCGGCTCTGCATGTATCTTTGGGCTTTGGTTTTCTTATGTGCACGGATGTTATCCGTTTGCCGAGTGTGTGGAGCGACGTCTGAAAGTTCATTTATTGTCAGCTGTTAAAGTTCTATTCTATCCTGGAAGTCCTTTGACTTACAGACGCTTTTCCTGTTTGAATTAAAAATCTTACATGTTACATTTGCAAAGGAATTGCATCATTGCGCGATGGAATCGAGCGGCATGGTCAGCCTACTGTTTAATCAGATGACTAGGGAACTATTTACAGTTACATCGATATGGTGGATACGAATAACGTATTATTATGGGCTGGTTGGAACTGTTGCTTCATATAGACAAAACTGCTTACGTTCATTCTAGTAAGTCTGTCAATATTATATATCAAATTGTTGGACATGAAGGCATGTTGTTTGTTCTGGGTACTGCTCTTGTAGTAGAATATTTGCTGGGGAAATGCTATGTCCAGATTGATATAGGTTCAAGATCAGGAATAATGGTTAAATTTGTAGTCTTTATATATGCCGTTCTGCTATTTAAAATGGAAGTGGAATAACCATGAAGAATGTCTGGCTATTATTCCTGTTTGTCTGTTACCTGCACCATGATAAAGGAATCTACAGTCTTGTATAATTAAACCAATGTTGGATGCTTGATCGAGATTTGAAAGTGTTTTGGACGGATGTTCGGAAAAAAACAATTCACGATTTTTAGAAAATGCTGCAGAACGGCTGCATTTAAAGAAATATATAGATTGGCCGTTTTTGCCACAGGAGTCATCATAAAGTGAGATGAAAAAAATCAGGGAATAAAGAACCCCTTCTTAAGAAAAAGTAAACTAAACGGAAATACATAGAATGCCCCTTCTGGGAAGCCTCCTCTCCAATAAAATATTCCTAAGAGAAAAGCTTATTGCTGTGATCTTGTTTATTAAATGCTTATCACTTAGTTCTTACAGCCTAACTCCCCGTGAAGTCTATTGCGTTTTCTGTGTAAATTAATGTTACGAGTGAGAGAGAAACGAAGAAAAATATAAAAGCTACAATAATATCAGAAGCGTTGAAAGGGAGGGGGGATGGGTAAGAAACAATAGAAAGAAAGGGAATGAATTTAAAACGAAATGCATTGGTCACTTCCGTTGCTGATGCTACCACTGTGAAACTTATTACTTCATCTCGTGGCCTTCCTGGATTCCTTTTTTGATCTCATGTACTTTGGCTGTTAGTTCATGGCTCACCAACAATCTGGTAAAATGTTACTATTAAGGTCCGTTGTCACGAATCGAAGGAAAATGGGTTATGCAGCTTTCTTACTCTTGAATACTCGCGATTCTTTGAGCAGTAAATACTTCGTTCGCATCCATGCTG